ATCATTAAGTTGTAAATTAACAATGTTATTCATATATACATAATGAATATATACATATAAACATATATACATACAATGTCACGTCTCATTAATAAATAATTATCTATAAAGTTTCTCGTTTTCACAGATCGTTCAGCTCGACGATTTCAAACGAAGATGGAATCGAGAGATTTCGTTAACGAAGATAGGTAGATAATGACGCGTTACTTGACGCCGAGCTCCCTTCTTTTTTTTTTATCGGCGGAAACGCGAACAACAAAGAACACCGGCGGCGGAACATTCTTCTTTTATATCCGGTTTACTCGATTTTCCTATACGACTCGTCATACCGTTCCTTTGTGAAACGGTTCCTATTTATATATAACACAGAGGGCGCATAAACGCACGTGTAACATGCTCCAACGATTTTTGTATACGGCCAAGGTGGGCGTGCGCCAATATCGCAAACACGGGCGGACAATTACATTGGTGGGAGCCTTGAACATGGCGTATGACGTCACCTCGTCTCTCCCTCCTTTTTTTTTATCGCAGCAAGGGGGATAGTAGCCGTGTCCCGTTATCGAGGAGAGTAGTAACCACCACCTCTCCCAGTAAAAAGTTTTTATATACCGATTTAACGCGCGCCCGTTAAGGAAGGAGGGGAGGGATGGACGAAAATATCTTCACTCCCGTTTCCTGCCCGCGAAAATTCAAACGTTAATCGGTTGAGAAAAATTGTGTATTCGTTCCTCATGAATATTAACGTTAACCTTTTTTTCTATACTTTTTCACGAGTTAAGCGTATCTCTTTTATTGTGATAGAATTTTCTTTTTTTTAATATTTTTTATCTATTGTTTATAAGTGAAAATTCATCGTTTATATAATTTTTGTCGATGGAGAAAAAAGTTTTAAAAGTAATTAAGTGATAATTTGGAAATGTTTAAAGGAAAGATATCTATTGTTCATAACTTGTCAATGGAGAAGGAGGTCTTAAAATATCAAAAATAACTAAAAATCATTTGTTGCAGATATAATGATAATTTGTTACAATATATAAAATTTTTCTCTAATAAAAGTAAAGTAAGATATTATGTATTTATTTTAAAGAAAATTGAAATACAATAATGCATATGTAGAACGCAATAGGACAACATTTTTTCCAATATATGATACAATTTCGACTTACAGCATTAAATTTTGAACATTTTTTTTTAAATTTAAAATTTTGTTCCATCCGACATCATTAAAAAGTTATATCTAAATATAACGAAAATTGAATTTTCGTGCGTTGATTTCCTGATTAAAATCCTTAATGAAAAATTGTATTGTATTCACGTACGATCCATTCACGTATCCAATAACAAAAATTTTATTAAAAAGTAAAAAAGTGTTCTAATAATTTCGCGAGCCACTATATGTAATATTATGAATTAAATAAAAAAAAAAAAAAATAAGAAATAATATCACTTTCAATAAAATGAATATTGATCGTTCAAAATAATACCAGATTCTTACATTTATTCCTCTTCTTCGATACATTTCAATAATTCATCGCGCAATTTTTCTCTTTTCAATAAAAAAATAGAATAAAAATAAAAAATAAAAAATTTAAAACAAAAAGGAAGAAAGAAAGCAGAAAGGATCGAAAACGCAGACGGAGAATTGACAAGAGACGACGAGTGTTTGTTGTAGAGTTCGTGACCCTACACGATTGTGCTCCGTCTACCTTTACTAATCCCTCCGGTTAAGCGGATCTATCTTGTGCGTTGCACGTTTCCGGTCTGCGGCTTACACTTGTACCGCCGTTTTCACAGCGAACTCGAACGACAAGGCTGCTTGCCTATCCTTATCCAAATCGGCGCGGTTAATCGGGTGGAATCGAATATCGACAACCGGTTGTGGAAATATCACCGTTCCGTTAACCTTGCGCCGTGCGCCTGCCTTGCTGTTACGTATCGAAAGAAAAAAGGCGACTGGCTCGTTCACCGAGCTGGTGCGGTTTTGGACCTCTCCTCGTTGCTCCTAGTAACGCTAGCTACGCCAGAAAACGGACCGAGTGTTACTTCCGATTAAGAAGAGTGTTGATATAGCTCTTCGAAGGTCGAATCAAAAATATCGAAGCTTATTCGTCGAGTTAATAAGTTTGTTAAAAATCGAAATTTTTGTATTTTATGAATTTTTCATCCGTTTCATCAAGATTGAAAAATTTCCTTCCAATTCTGGTGATATATTCGAAAAGGAAAATAGTGAAACGTTCCTCGTTCGAACGGGGATATATCACGTAGAAAATATTTCCAGCAGAATATTCAGAAATAAGGTATATATGTTTGTCCGCATGTTTTCACGTCGAATAATCAATACAATAACAAGCGTATAAAAGCGCTCGCTTTATATTGGTGTTGACATAATATCGCGAGCAAAGCGATATAACGATAACAAAACCGAGCCCCATAACAGGTAACAGGTACTGACATTGTATCCGATTTGAATGTTTTACCATACATAATGCGTGTATCTTTTTATACAGGAGAGGCAAAGAAGGGATCGATAATAAAATTTAAGCCGAAAAACGGTCGTAAGTAAATTTAAAATCTGATTAATAATCATAGCCGAATAATATCGAGACTTGAATCGTTACCGTAGAATTACGTGGATTTAATTCACGTAACCACGTACGAGCATGGTTATTATTCGATCGACCGGTTTCCTCCGCAAAATACAAAATACAAAAGTGCAAACGGCCTACGAAGTATATTTATAACTTGTTTGCTTTAAGTAAATAGCCTGTCCTCCTTTCAGGTGAGCGCTGTCATCGCCAATTTAGCGAAGTGCCCGCGATGTCCAAATAGAAGATCTAACGTTGAAGGGAAAAAAAAAAAAAGAAAACGTCGTGTCGCGAGCGAGCGTGATATCGGGTTATAAAATAAAATTGTTTCATTTAAACAAGATTTGAACGAGACGTAAAAAACGTGCGTTACAGCATTGCGTTACACGTGGATATCGAATTGTCTTAATCGTCAGGTCTTAAGTTTCATACGAATCGTATGAAAAAAAAAAAAAGCTAATCGTGTAATTTAAAAATAAAGATATCACACACAGAGTGAACTCCATTTTATTCTCCAAAATTTTCTACGTCGATAATGGTTTAATCGATTCATTCAAATTTTTTTTTTAATTTGAGAACCACTGTCGCTCTCCAAAACTTTGCGAAAGCAAAGCTTTTTTTTCCCGCTCAAAACGCGCTATTCTACTACTCTTAAGTAATTTTACAAACTCTACAAACAATTTCTCCCTCGAATGGATCTACTTAACAAGATTTTTTCGATCGATAATGATTTTCCAAAAAAAATTGCTACAACAAATTCTCTCGTCGATTTTACCGCTCTCGGAATCTTCAAGATTTTCATAGGGAATATAACAATATATCCCTATATTCCGTCCAATCTTACCTACCTTACCAACCGTCAATCGAATCGTCCGTTTCCACTTCGAGACAAACGTAGGCAAGGAAGGGGAGAGGCGAGAAAGAGAGAAAGGGAGAGGCGGAGACTGAAAAGCTCGAGTGCCGGAAAAGGAGACGCGGACGCGGTGAAAGGTAGGCGAAACGAGAGTGGTGCTGCGAAAAAGCACAAGAAGGAGACGAAACGGGGAAGAATCCCAGCGGACAGTGGCGCGAGATATCGGGTAACATTCGTCATGGTGAGTGCGGAGACGTCGACCTCGTCGTGGAGATACACGCCTGTCGCGAAACTCTTCAACCGACCGTCAACGCGGTGGAACGAGTCCACGACAAATTTAATCTTCTTGACGAGTCGGACTTGGTTTCCGCCGAGAGATTCGCGGCCGATTGTCTTCAGACTGAAAGTTTGAAATAAGTTCGTGTACGAACTGGAACAGTGAAATATTTATGTAACGGACTCCCTATATTCGTGGAATACTACTTTGGAAACTAACTACTTTTGAAATTTTAAGAGTTGATTTTAAGAGAAAATATAAGTCGATGTACGGGAATGTTGAGTTTTATTAATTTAATAAATTGGATGAAGATAGAACTATCTCGTTTTATCTTCGTTTCCTTTCACAACTTTCTAACCTAACTTAACCTAATAGAATTGTTTACAGCTTGATAAACAAGTAATGTAATATTTTTATGTATTTTCGTATTTGTTTTGAACAATTAGTCTATTTATCTATGAAATATTCCTTAAATATTATTATTCTGTACAAATAAACACCGTTTGAAAATATTATTTTGTTTAATTTTTTGGATCCGATATTAAAAGTCTACTTTTTTCGGTATTGATGATCGTTGGTGTCGATGAAATGTCATCAGAGGAGAGATAAGCAATATTCCGGTATAATGAAAAAATAAATAAATGAAAAGGGATTACTGGAACGCTCTCGAGCTCTGTTTTACAGCTTCGCTTATTGCGAGTATCGCGATTATTGCGCCATCGATCGGAAGAATACGGTAAACTCGCGATTGGCGAGTCGTAATAATTGCGGAGGATATATCTCGAGGAAAAAGGTTGAGTGTGGTTGAAACTCTGGTGAATGTTGACGAGTTTTTCGAGAGTTTTGGAGATGAAATATTGGAGTGCTTTTCCGGAATTAAGCGCGTTTTCTTTGCGGTTGATTACAAAGTGTTGGTGTTAGGTTAGGTCGATAGGATATTCGCGTTCTTTAAATTGGAATACCTTTTGCGAGAGCAAACTTCTCGAATATTCTTCTCTCGAGAAAATGATTAGGAATACTTGCAATTCGAATTATTTAATTTCGAAAATATTAATTTAACATTCATCGATTCATTCGATCGAGTTTTACTTTTTACTATATTTGGTTTCTCCAAATTCCCCTTTAGATTTCAAGTTTTAGATGTTCACAAATCCGTATTCCAGAAAGAAGGGAAAAGAAAGAAACGCAACGAAATGTCACGCTTCCCAGAGAGAGAGTACACTTGCCCCTAAACGCACAGAAAGATGTTCCGCGCGTCAGGTCAACGACACTTTAACTGGGTACGAAATTAACCCTCCGCACGAGAGATCCACCTTTAACTCCAGGAGTCCTCGTGATCGCTTGTCTCTAGATCTCAATTCCGTATAACCAAGAGCTAATTGTATCAAAGGAAAGGGGAAAAGGAAAGAGACGGCGGAGTGGAAAACGTTTCCACGCGTAACTCGATCAACGTCAAGGTGTCCACCCATGTTACCACCAGTCTACGACCAGTCTGACCACTTATCGACATCTGTAAATGCACCTTGAACGGGTCCAACGACGACTTTATCCATCGTTGTTGATTCACCGCCAGTTACCGATAAATTAACGCGGCGTAAACTTGACGCCTTATCGCGCGCTCGCCACGCCCCTCTCCCTTTCTGTAACCGAAATCGGCAGATCGTGGGATGGACGTGTGTTGCAACCGATAACGATAACGATGCATCGCCGACCATGGTTGCGGAAAACGATCGCCCACAGGTTTTTACTTATTCATTGTTTTTCTTTCCTTTCCGATTATTTAAATTTTTTTCTTTTTTTTCCAATTTAAGAATCGTTACGTACGTACGTTTAAAAATATTACACCGTGCGTTGGTGTTTTTCAAGAGGTTAGGTTATGTTACGAACGATTATGGATTCCAAGAACGATCATCGTTAAATCTAGTTATTTTATTTATTTTCCTTTCCTAATTACTCGAACAATTTTTCCAATTTGAAGAATATACGCGTACACGTGTTGCGTCGATATTCTTTAAGAGGTTATGTTAGACACGCGGATTCGCCCAATTCATCGTGGATTTTGCTTGAAAATATCACCAATTTAAGAAATATTACACGCAACAGTATCGATCACGTACGAGAAATTATTCTTTTCGAACGAGAATTCTCCCAGTTTTCGTTCGTGCAAAATCCATCGAAACGTATAACGTGAAGTGAACGTAGAGCATCGATAAATCGAAAGATGGTCGAGATGGCGCTCTCGGCCAAGTTCCGGGTGAAATGAACGCTTTTTGCACTCGCGTATCAGCCTTACCCATAAAGCTTAATTGCGATTGAAGGTCTTCGAATGCGTAACCCAGACACATGGATTAAGGCGCAACCGTAGAAGCATACAAAGCGTTACAAAGCGCCGGTTACCGGTTTCAAGCGTTTATTGATGCAATAACGTTGCCGCGATAAAATTCCACCGTCCAATTCGCCTCATTTCATTTTAATCTTAAGTTCACCGTGTTATACGTATATCACTCGAAAACGTGCAAAGCAAAGCGTGTTTCTTTAAAACACGATTTCAATTCTTTTTTCCATCGTGAATAATTTAACTCGAAATTAATTTTAATAATTTTATCTGATCGATTTAAAAATACGAATTTCGACATTCGATTCGATCTCTAAAACTGATCTTCCAAAAATGAATCTATTGAATTCAACTTTTCAAAAACACATTTCGTTCGTTCATCTAGAATTTTATTAAATGCTACAAAATTCGTTCTCCACGAGCGGAGTTAATGCCTCTTAAGCTATCTCGTTGAATCACGAGTCAAGTTCACTTTGAGGGAAGATGCGCAAAGGTGCCGAAATCGTTTTCTTTTTTTTTTTTCCCCACCCTTTGGTGAATGAGTTTAGGAAGGGTTAACGCGCTCCTGGGCATTCGAGTACATATAGGGCGGAAGGAAGGAAGCAACCACAATTTCGCCAACAATGCGGCTAGCTTCATCGGTGCGTACGAGGAGGAGTATGGGTATTCTGTAGGGGGAGGGGGTGTGGAAGGAAACGTGCTCGAATTATTAGGCTACGTAAATCGTGTAAAATATTGTGGACGAGGGAGAGATGTTGCGAACGATTATTAGAAGAAGACGATGATAATGATCGAATAATTTCTATAAACGTGGTCTTTTTCGATCTCTGAATTTAATTCTACCTTTCTATCGAATCTTCCATCGCAAGAAACAATATTTGTAAATTGTAAACGTTCTCTTTCAATTCGTTTTACGATCGAATCGTAGTTTCTGTGACGTGGTCGTCTTTTATTTTTTCGATCTCTGGATTTAATTAAAAAAAAAAAAAAAAAAAAAATAAATTGTGAAATTATAAATTTTATCTTTTTATCAGATGTCTCATCGTAAGAAAC